CAAATAAACATGAAAAACAACAACCACAAAACAGCCAACACCTTACGCACCGTGGAAACCTCTAGCTCCACCGGGTGATATGGTGGCAGAGCATATGTTGACACGGTTCTAGAGGCAGACCAGTTTGTGCCGAGTCTGTACCCACTCGAGACTGGCAGCTTTCCGAGTCACTGAGAAATGCGTTGGAGCAAATATTCCTAAGTGAGACATAGAGGTTTCCTCCAAGATCCAAAGAGGTTCCCTAGGTCCGGGGCCTCTTTCTCAGTGGTGGGGTGCAAGGTGCAATTACCTGTCCTTTGTCTGGAAGGGGCTGCTTTGGAATGCCCCAGAGCACAGGACCCCTACAAACTCCACCCATGCGGCAGGCACCTGAACCCTCATGGGTGTTTTTCTGGTGCTCATGCGCCTCCCTAGGGCATCCAGAGCTCGGGCCGCTTCCTGCCCTGCAGGTCTTATGAGCCTCACGCCATCAGCATCACGGGAGCAGTTGGGTTCTATGGGGAGGCAGAAAGATCAAAGCTCTTGAAGATCATCTTCTGATGGGGAGCTGGAGAGTTGATACGCCCCCTGGCCAGACAGTGAATGCTCTCTCTGCCTCCCTCTTGGTAAAAGCGAGCTGCTTTTCATTCTCCTTAGTGATGGGAATTCAGAAGAATGCATCTACCAGTTAATAACTGCTTACCAAACGTCAGGGGGCTGCGTCATCTACTCTAACAACGCTAACACATCAAACGTGGCACAGAGTATCAGTTAAGTTTGCAGTAGCCCCCCACTGTCCCACACAATCTGTCTGGTCTTCACAGGGACCAGAGAAATGAGTAAATCCCACAGGAATAGGCTAGGGGCCTCGGCCACCACCTTTCGCCCTTTACGTCTTCAAAGATGGCGCGATTCCCTGCAGTGGCTCCTAGGACATAGTGTCATTTCTGATTCACTAACTTGGAGGGGGGTGGGACAGTTTCAGGCACTTTCACTCAGCTTTTCCTATCAAAATGCTCTTATCCATCAGACGCTGGGTAAAGAGCTACAGGGAAGGTCTGTGGGCCCACTGAACCCACTGACAGGCAGACCCTGGCCAGAATACCTTCGATCTCCTGGCCTGACTGAGCCCATCTCTAGCCAGAGGAGCATCTAGCATTGCAGATGCTCCAGCATCACTGTCACCGCATACCCGGAGTTCTAATGGGGAAATTGGATGCAACGGGCCTCGAAAGACGTGAGAATTCCCTTTTCCCTACTGACTCGTTACCCTTTAGGAGGGTTCCCGAATGTTTCACTGAGTATGGGTTATGGTGATGCAGGTTTCTCTACAAGGAAACACACCTGCTCTTCAGTCAGTGGATTCCAGCTCTGTGAACTGACTGAGATCTAGAAAGTGGATGAGGGGCCTTGCCGTCCATGATGCCAGTTACTAGCCTTCTGGCTTCTACCATTCTGGAACTCCATAATCCCCAGGGATACTAGGGAGCCCCGGTTCTATGGCAGGATCTCGTCCCGTCAACCCTGACCCATTCAGAGCTTCTCCAGGATGTTAGTGGCCTCGTGGCTCAGGTGACCATTCCTCTGGCCCTCCTGAGGAGCATGGTCAGGTGATGGGGCCTCCAGCCTCACCTAACAAACCCATTTGAACATGGCCTCCTCCCCGGACCTTCTGAGCCCTTCCTTAACTCTCTGCCAAGGCCACTTCAGCATCTCTACCTTGCTTACTGCGGGTTCAGGCCGTGAGGAAGCTTCAAGGAGCCTGACCGGCAGTGTCCTAAGGAAAACTCCAGGTGTCGGTGTCATGGCTTTGAGCCCGGAGTCACAAGCAAGTGCTCCCCCGGACAATGCTCCCCTTTCCAGACCTACACCCAGGGTTGGTCCACCACCCTCAGGGCGCAATCATTCCCATACGCCTCCGCTGGTGCCTGTGAATCCATTATCAGCCAGGTCCTGTAGTTCCTTCCACAAATAAGTAAGTAATTTCTTTGCGGAGTAGTGACTGTAGTTCTCCTACTCAGACTGTCCTGATACGGGATCCTGTCTCTCTGCCTGGTGGTATTGACTGTGGCAGAGGGGGATCCTGACGCTAAACATCGTGCTACAGGGTCCCTGCTTCGGGTGCAACCTCACAGGGTCTCCAAGCACAGGGAGGCTGCTCCACTCTAGGAGGGGGCTTCAAGGGTCTCGTGTACCCAAATGCGCCCATTCCAGATCCTTCTCCCCTTTAGGACACTGACTTTGTTTTTTATTATTTATTTATTTATTTATTTTTTAAATTTAATGCTTATTTATTTTTGAGAGAGAGAGACAGACAGACAGACAGGGTGTGAGAGTGGGGGAAAGGCAGAGAGAGAGAGGCAGACATAGGATCCGAAGCAGGCTCCAGGCTCCGAGCTGTCAGCACAGAGCCCGACGCGGGGCTCACACTTGTGAACCACAAGATCATGACCTAAGCCAAAGTCGGACGCTTAACCGACTGAGCCACCCGGGCGCCCCTGACTTTATTTTATTTTCTTAAGTTTATTTATTTATTTTGAGACAGAGAGAGAGCGTGGGAGGGGCAGAGAGAGAATCCCAAGAAGGCTCTGCACTGTGAACGCAGAGCCCGACTCGGGCGGGGCTTGACCTCAGGAACCATAAGATCATGACCTGAGCCGAAATCAACAGCAGGACACTTAGCCAACTGAGTCACCCAGGCACCCGTCTGCAGGTCACTTCTACAGGTCTTGCTTCATCCTGCAAGACCTTTTGAGGAGCCTCAGGAAACATCCTAGAACTCTCCACCTGAAGGATGAGAGGAGAAAGCATCTATCCATTGTCCCCTCCTCCCAACTAGTCAATGGAGACCCTACAGGCATCGACTCCCCTAAGTTTCCACGTTGCATATGTGAGTGCCGAGGGGATCACCAGGGATGTCTCCCAGGACAGGAAGTGGGAAGATATAGGATGTGACTGTCGGAGAGAGGCGGAAGCGTCGGTTTGTACCTGTGTGAGGTTGTTCACACCTGTTCAGTCCTGGTCATGCGATAGAACTGGAGTCTGAGGATTTTATTTATTTATTTTTAAACATTTACTTTAAAAAAAATTTTTTTTTAAATGTTTCTTTACTCTTGAGAGAGAGAGAGAGAGAGAGAGCAGGGAAGGGGCAGAGAGGGAGGGAGACAGAGGATCCGAAGCCGGCTCTGCGCTGATAGCAGCAAGCCCGACACGGGGCTCGAACTCATAAACCGCGAGATCATGACCTGAGCTGAAATTGGACATGTAACCAACTGAGCCAGTCGGGCACCTTGGAGTTTGAGGATTTTAAATGGGGCCCAAAACAGGTGCCCAGTACCATCCACCTGGGTGAGTACCGTCCTTCAGAGCAGCAGAGGCTGATACTTAAATGTTAGCTTCCCTGCAAGTGGTCCAAAGCATTACTACTCATTTCTTCGGGAATTACCTTCAGAACAGTACAGAAACCAATCAAGAGGGACACCTGGCTGGCATAGTTGGTGGAGCACGTGACTCTTCCTCTCAGGGTCATGAGTTCAAGCCCACATTGGCATAGAGCCTACTTAAAAGAAAAAAGAAAGAAAGAAAGAAAGAAAGAAAGAAAGAAAGAAAGAAAGAAAGAAACTCAGTGTCTTACATATTTAAACTTTTAAGCCAAAACAGTATGCCCAGCTTAATTAACATTGTCATTAACCATGATTTAGCTGCTCCCAAGAAAGATGATTTGCCAGTTCGGAGAAGAAGCTCTTGCCAAAATCACAGAAATGTAGCATAAAGGAGTAGGACCGGCATCGATCTCATTACTTCAGGCTTAGTCCCACCTTATACGCATACGTGTGTGTGTCTGTGTATCTTCGTGTGTATCTGTGTGCTGTGTGTGTAGTTGTGTTCGTCTGTGTCTATGTTGCATCACATATCTGTGAGTATATCTGTGACTTTGTGTGTGTGTGTATGCGTGTGTGTGTGTTGTGCATGTTGACCATCTGCTCTGTGCCGACCACAGAGAATGCCCCGAGCACTCTGTCCTCGCGACGCTTCCGTGGAAAACAGCCTACCTGGCTAGGGAGTGAGGAAGCCGCAAGAACCTCCAACTCTTAAACTCCTCTTGAAGTAGGTGGAGTAATGGCCTCCCAAAGATGGAACCTGTGAATATATTATGTCACACGGCAAGGGGGAATTGAGCTTGCATATGGAACTTAAGTTGCTAATCGGCTGACCTTAAAATAAGATTATCCTTCTTAGCCCGGTGGGCCCAATATAATCACAAGGGTCCTTAAAAAATGAAAGGGAGGAGGCAGAAGAGTTGGTGTCAGAGTGAGGTGATGTGAGAAAGACTCAAGCAGCCACTGCTGGCTTTAAAGATGGAAGGAGCCACGAGCCAAGGAATGTGGGCAGCCTTCATAACTTAGGGCTAGAAAATAGATTTTCCCCTATCAGAGCCTGCCGACACCTCTATTTAACCCAGCGAGACCCATTTCGGACTTCTGATCTCTAGGACTTCAAGATATCCAAATTTGTGTTGCTTTAAGCCACTAAAACTATGGTAATTTGTTACGGTAACAACAGGAAATGAATATGCCTGGGAAAATTGCATTCGTGTCTTTCAAATGCTCCCCCTTTGCTTTGCTTCTAGTCTTAGTTAAAGGTGCAGTGGATTGCATTTGACGTAGGGGTTGGCTTGTGAAGTCAGCATTTAAGGAGAAAATATGGCGTCCATATTAACCTTGAAAATGCCTGTAATTGCTCATTTTGTGGAGAGAAGGGGCCAGGACCCACTGAAAAGAGCCGATCAACATTCCCCAAGGTGCCCTCACCCTTAGGCGCCCTCACCCCAGGGCTTGGGCCTACTGATCACAAGGGCCAGCTAAACAAATCACACCCTTTGAATTGTCTCTTTCTCTCCCTCCAGGCATTTAATTAAATTTGCACCAATTCAAAGAGCATATGCTGTAACTCCATTGCAATTTCAGATTTTGTTCCTATTTCCTGAGTTTGCTAAGGAAAGCATGAAAAAAGAAAACGTATTTGTGCTGTGGCTTGTTCTTTTTTTATTATGAAATATAACAAACATACAGAAGAGCGTGAGGCGTATCACCCACCTCTGGCAAATTGCAACATCGTTCTTCCACACTGGATTCGGATTTTTAAAAGGAAACGAAATGTTACACATACAGTTGAAACCCAATGTCCTTCTTAGCCTTGCAGATGCTGCCTTCGACCCCCTTCCCCCCCCCTCCCCCCATCCCCAGGAGCTTTCCCCATTACTGATTTTGATATTTGATTTTGATAGCAGTCCTGTGCAGGCTTTGATACCTCTATTATCCAATTCTGTGCATACCCGTAAACACTAAAATATCAGCTCACATATCAAGAAAGATTCTATAAATGGTACACTGCATATATCCTTCTGCAACTTGCCCTCCTCTCCTCCAGCTCAGCACCGCGTTCCTGAGATTTATCCACAGCAGTACTTGTAGTCCTGGTTCATTCTTTGAAGCTGCTGAATAATATTTGATTTCCTAAACATACATTTCTGTTCATCTGCTTTTCTGGTCATAAGTATTTAGGTTGTTTCCAGTTTCTCTTTATTACCAACAGAGATGCAGTGAACATTCTGGTCCATTTCTTTGGGCCCCTGTGCAAGAGTCCCTCCAAGGTGTATACTTAGGAGGGAAACTGCTGGGTCCAAGCATGTGTTCAGCCTTAGAATCACCGGTAATTGCCAAATTGCCTTACACAGGAGTCACACTGATTTCCCACTAGTGGCAAATGCAAGTTCCCTTTGTGTCCTGACCAACGCGTACTAGTTTCTGCCCATCTGATTGCAAATGGGTCTTGTTCTTCTGGTAGGTTGCACAGCGGATGCTCATAGCCACCCTGGGGCAGAGGTGGCGCAGGCCTTCCTTGTGACCCCCTGGCAGAAAGGCATAGGGAGCCCCAGGGAGGGGATGCTGAACCCAACATAGATGACTGTGGCCATGCAGAAGCCTAATGAACCTAGGAACCTCGGATTCCAGCATTCGTCCCTATGGGAACTGAATACAAGGCCAGAACGCAAACCGGCTCCTGGCTAGGCAGTAGAAGATTGAATCTTGAACCTGTTTGCCTTCTGAGTATGTCTTCTGTATGTACACTTGGAGCCGGGTGTCTGGGGCTTAGGGATACTCATTGTGTGCCGTCTCGTCCAGCCCCTGCACGAGTTCTGGCGACTAAAGCCACACCACAAACACGGAGCATTTCCCCTCAGGGGGAGGCCCAGCCAACATCTTGGCCCTGACACCCTACTGGACTGTGGCCTTGGGCAAGTTACATCTTCTTGGTGCCTCAGTTTTCTTGTCTATACCATGGGGATGGTGGCACCTACCTCCTGGCAAGGTCATATGGACTGGCCGCAGCCACACGTCTGAAGTGCCAGGCACAAAGAAAACATGCAAACGTTAGCTGTCACGAGGAAGGCTGTGATGGTGACTTCTTGCTGCCCACAGGAGGTAGCAGTGGTCCCGAAGAAGAAACTCCAAGGGCAGGCTCAGCACAGCACAAGTCACTGATTCTGGGAGACAGCCCATCCGCAGAGGCTAAGGAGGACTCTTCTGGAGGTATAGGCTCGCGGCACCCAAGCACAGGACCAAAGGCACCGTGGCCAGTGGCATGTGGTTGTCCTGCAGGGAGGCTGCGGGGTCATTTGAGGGGCCCTTGGAAGCCCACGTCTCTGTTTTCTCTTGGCTTGAAAAATATCAAAGGATTATGGCCCGAGGGTTTACCGTGTGCTGCCATGGCTGCCTATGAGCCGACCATCCCTGCTTCTGGGGCAGAGCTCAGGGGGTCCACACCAAGCGTGTCGGGTGGAGGGGACCTGAGATGGGTAGGTAAGGGGCCAAAGTCGTGTCCGTGACCTGTTCTCATTTCTGTCCGTTTCAGCAGTCCTCGTCCACGGTTTGGGAAGCAACCCAAGGTCACTGCTGTCCTTGACCCGAAGTCTCATCATCGACAACTAGTGATTTAGCCCCAGTGATGGGACAGAGGCCACAAGATTAGAAGGCAGAACAGCGTTCAGTTCCTAGTTGCGCCTCCGTTTTGCTAGGTGAACTTGAATCTTCAGAAGCCTCGGCTTGCACGGCTCTGTGGTGGAGCTAAGAACACCTGCCCCACCCATCTCATAGAGCTGTAATACCAAGTGAGACGGCGTGCACCAAAGGACCTGGGACATGCTGTGTTCCACATAAATGGCAGTTATGGTGTATCACACTGAGCTGTTCCTGCTGCGTGGGTTCAGTGCTCAGCCGTGCAGGTGAGGGCAAGTCGAGTTAGCCACACCCTCTCTGCTGGGTCAAGCCCGCATCTGCCGGGATCACTGGTCTGCTCCGGGATCACAGCACAGCCTGGAACTCTAGCCAGGCCCCCCTGGAACTAAATGTTACCCATGGCCCCACAGGCTCCCTCTTCTAATCAGATGAGACATCCAACCCCAGCCGATAATCAACAATCACACAGCAAGCTGGCGACGGGTGGAGAGTCAAGGCTCTTGGAGGCCAAGTTTAAATGCCAGCTCTGCCCCTCCCTAGCTGGGTAATCTTGGACAAGCCACTTACCCTCTCTGAGCCTCAGTTAAGTCGTTTATACAATGGGGGTAAAGACGCCTACTTCACGCTGTCAAGAGTGAATGAAACTATACGTGCTTGTCACATAGGAGGTCAACGAATGGGGGCTGCAAGGATTTAACACATGACTGTTAGCTCCACGAGCACAGGGCCTACCTAGATTTGTTTTATGCCTGGTGACCACTCGGCGCCTGGTAGAGCGCCTGGCGCACGCAGGATGGGCACTCAATCCACTTGGGGAGTGAGTGAGTGAGTGAACGAAGGGAGTACCGCGGACTTCTTGAACCCCTCCGAGCCTGAACTTCCTCATCTGTAAAATGGGCATATAAACACTCACCTGGGAGGGCTGTCGTGAAAACCAAGAGCCGCCAGCCGATGCTCGAAACATCCTCGGACACCGCACAGCGGGAGGCCCGCCGCACCCCCTTCCCTGGGCAGACACCACAAGAGGCGGCTGAGTAAGTAAGAGTAACGTTTACTGAGCGATACAGGACTGAGTACTGTGAAGGATTTACCAGGATGGAAACGCACCCCATGCCCGCCCCTGCCACCCCGACACCCAGAGACTACTACAGTACTTAGGAGTTACACACGACGGCCATAACTGCTGGATATCTGTTCGTAACAAACAAACCATAGCATATTTATACTATATCACATCGAGTGATTATAGAAATCCATATATATATTGCTTGTATAAAATCTTTTTTTTTTTGTAAAAAATATTAAAAAAAAAAAAAAAAAGAAAGTATAAAAAAACATGTGCAGTTGAAAAGCCCTGCCAGGACAGCCAGTCTGTAAACATTCAGTGAGTATGTGCTTTGGAAGGGCGCCCGCGCCTCGTGCCCACAGCAGACTCCAGCGGGGCCGTTGAGGGCGCGCCCCGGCTGCCGCTCCCGGGCAAGGCCGCGCTGGACCCACGGGGGCAGGTACGGCTGGGCCCCACGTGGCGCCCACTCCAGCCTGGCATCAGGGTCGGGGGGGGCAGGGCTGGGGGCAGGCAGGCTGTGGTCCCACTCAGTTCCATCCCCAGCCGCATGTTTGTTTGCAACTCATGGCTTTTCCTGGCTGCTCCGAGGTCCCTCGGCGGGTGCCCTGGTGGAGAGGCCATTTGGTTGGGTGTCTCTCTGGCCGGGGGCCTCTGTCCTGCCTCCTTCCAGCTGGGCCCCAGGCAGGACAGCCCCACCGTGGGTCTACTTTGGTCTCAGCGCTTGGTCCTTCTAGGTTTCGTCAGCCCGTTCTTCCCCTTGTGTGGCTGATGTGAGTTTCACAAAAAAGCCCGGCCAGCGCTGGCTGTGCTGAGCCTCATTGTAAAGTTTGTCATGCAGCAAGGAAGGGCCCTCTGGGACCCCTCGTCCTCCCCCCTCTTCCCAAATCCTCCTCCTCCTCCTCCTCTTCCTCCTCTTCCTTCTCCCAGCCCATGGTCACTTCTTCTCTAGCTGCTCCAACAGCGGGTTCCCTTCTGATTCGGGGGTCTTGACGCTGTCCGTCCGGACGATGCAGGTGGGGCGATGCCGGTTCAGCATCAGAATGAGCTGCTGTCGCTCCTGCTTCAGCTCCTCGATCTGGGTCTTCAGCTCCGCATTCATGAGTTCCAGCCGCTCAGATTCCTGTGCACAAAAACAGGGACAGGGCTGTAAGCTCTCCTTGGGGACCGGCACTGCCTCTGGGGAGGTACAAGGCACTCCCAGCTGGCATTTGCCTGTTTTCTGCCTGCCAGCTTCCCACTGGAAGAGGCACAGGACCTGCTATTGAGCCCCCAGGGTCCCTGACTTTCTGCAGCAGTGGCCGTCACCCCTGTGACACTGGCCTGTGTCAAAGCGGGAAGGACCCAGGTTATATTCTGGGGCCAGCCTGGCTCATGTCCCACCTCCCTCCTCTCACTCAATCCACTCCAGCCACGGCGACTCCCTTGTAGTCGCTCAAATATGCCAACACTCTCCTGCCTCTGGGCTCTTGCCCAGGAAACAAAGGGTGGGAGAGGAATAGGGACCCAGTGGAACTAGAGCAGGTGCATGCAGGGTCCACAGGGGGTGGGAGGGGGGGCCCGCGGCTGGCAGTGCAGCGGCAAAGTGCTTTGATGTGTGATGTGTAAATGTACATTGGGGCTATGCTGGCCTGCGGGATCACTAAGCCCAGTGTGCTCATGTCATTCCTCCCCAAACGAGTACTTCCTATCAGTCCATAATCATTGAAACAGCCTCTTCGTTATCCCGTTATCTAGAAGCTTTGCCCACTGGGAGGCGATCAACTGTCACCCTTCTGGATCCAAAAGAAAGTTTCCAATAGACCTCAAGTGAGATTCCCAATGAACTTCCAGCTCAGTTGGAGAGACTCCAGGGAAAAGAAGGAACGAATGCTGGTGATTCGCTCTTGGGGAGGGCGGTGGGGGGGGGGGGGGGGGGTTGTGGGTTCAGAGTGTGGATGGATAGGCAGACCAATTCAGGGCTTAGGGGTCAAAGCGGTAAGACAGGAAGGCTTCGCCGGACTGTGTCTGAGAACTTACAACCCAGTCGAGAGTTGGGGTTTACTCAAGGGCCAGCAAAGTTTTGGACCCAGTGGCTCTCTCGACTCAGAGCGATTTCGCCTGCCAGGAGACATTTGACAACGTTCAGAGACAATTTTGGTTGTCTCCCCCCCCCGGGGAGGGTGGGTGCTATGGTGTCCAGTGGGTAGAGGCTAGGTATGCTTCTAAACCTCTTGCAATGCCCAGGGCGGCCCCGCAACAAGAACTCTCTAGACAAAATGTCAACAGGGCCGCGGTTGGACAACCCGTACCAGGCCAAGAACAAGCTGCGGTTGCGATCACGCACGTGACAAAGGAGCTGGGTGACACCGGCTTGGGTCTATGGGCTTGCCCCTCCGCCGGCGGGGCCAGGCTGGGCAGCCTCCTGCGGGGAGGCACCCCAGGCCGCCGTCCTCCTCATACTGGCTGGCCCGACTGAACTGCCACTTGGTCTGTCTCAGGGGTAACAGCACGAGCGCCTGGGGAGCTCAGAACTGCTAAGATGGGCAGTCCTCGGGACCAGACACTGAAGGAGAACGGCCCCCAAAAAAGGAAAGAAGCGATCTGGGGGAAAACATTAAAAAGCAGCTATGGTGTTTGGACCCAAGGAGGTGTGTGGATTCACACTCATTCATCATAGGAATGGGTGGCTCAGTCAGTTAAGCACCTGACTCGATTTCAGCTCAGGTCACGGTCTCACAGGTCAGGAGTTCAAGCCCCGCGTTGGGCTCTGCTCTGACAGGGCGGAGCCTGCCTGGGATTCTTTCTCTCCCTCTCTCTCTGCCCCTCCCCTGCTCATGCCGCCGCCCCCCCCCCCTCAAAATGATAGACATTTTAAAAAGTTATTAAAATGTTGAAGTATATCATGGAATATCCTGCACTCGGACCGGCTGGCTGTCAGAAGGTAAGTGACTGCTTTTTAGTTTTATTTCCTTCTGTTTTATTGGGTGGTGCTACATGTTTATTTATCGTGTAAGTAGAAGTTGACTTCAGAAGAACCATGATTATAGAAGTTGCCTGTGGTTTTATAACAGCAGTTACCTGATCTGCTTTGCTCATTAATTGAGAAATGTGGGCTAGGATCTTCACATGTTAATTATGAAGTAAATAACTCTGCTTGCGTTTTTGTTTATAGTTTTGCCTTCTGGTAGATATTTCTTGCCCTAGAGAAAATGAAACCATTTGTTGTTTCACAATAGATTGCAAGCGAGTGAACACTCTGTCTCTTCCACTAGGCTCACCAAAGGCAGGAGAAAAAATACCGGGTGAGGGGCTGGGTGTCCTGGTATTTCATGCTGGCTGTGTGACCTTGGCCAAGTCAATTCCTTTCTCAGGGCCTCAGTCTCCTCCCAGAGAATATGATTGGCCTAGAGGACTTTAAGCATTAAGATTCTCTGATTTTAGGGGTGCCTGGGGGGCTCAGTCGGTTGGGCATCCCTTTGGCTCAGGTCATGATCTCGCAGTCTGTGAGTTCAAGCCCCACGTCAGGCTCTGCACTGACAGCTCAAAGCCTGGAGCCTACTTCAGGTTCTGTCTCCCTCTCTCTCTACGGGTCCCCCACTCATACTCTGTCTCTCTCTTTCAAAAATAAAATAAAAACATAAAAAAAAAAAAGATTCTCTGATTTTACCTTTAAAAAAGTTACCCTAGGGGCGCCTGGGTGGCTCAGTCGGTTAAGTGTCCGACCTCGGCTCAAGTCATGATCTTGTGGTTTGTGAGTTCGAGCCCCGCGTCAGGCTCTGCTGACAACTGGGAGCCTGGAGCCTGCTTCAGATTCTGTGTCTCCTTCTCTCTCTGCCCCTCCCCCCACTGTGCTCACTTGAGTTCTCTCTCTCTCTCTCAACAATTAAAAAAAAAAAGTTACCCTAATACACTTAAAATAGAGTTCTATTTCCCAATGTTTTTTGTAAGTATTGGGAAGAAGGCTGGTGGCCTCTTCTGAGCCCAAAAGGCCTGTCTGAACTAAAATCCTACCTCTGCCACTTTAGCTATGTCACTGTGAACCAGATTCCCCATGTCCCTGAGCCTGGGCAACCTGAACAGCGTGCTGGGCGGTAGAGGAAGCCCTGGGTTCTAGTCCTGCCTCAGCTGCTGCAGAATCTTGAGCAAACGTTCATCCCTCTGAGTCTCAGAATCCTCGTCAGGGGAGTGGGGCTGCTTCGCCTCCCCTCCAGGGTCACCATCTCCTTGTGACCATCAAGGAGGGAATGGCCATGAAGAGTGCAGAGTGCTATGGGAGTGTGAGATGGGCTTCCTGCTACCAAAGCCCAGAGAATGAACCCGCGTTAGGCACGGCAGGTGCGGCAGGTACAGAGGCCGGCGTTACAGAAGGGAGAAGCATAGGGACGCTGCTCCTGACTGCAGAGAGAGGAGCTGCTGAGGTAGCCCTGGCTGCCTCAGGAACTCGGCTGGTCCAGGCAGGTGAACTCGGAGATGCTCTAAGAGTCTCCCAGGGTGCATCTAGATGTCCAGGGGTCAAGGATGGTAGAGTGACTTTTTACATCACATATACGTGTGTGTGTGCACACACATATCCTTTCGTACCTCTGAGCCTTATAAATATTTCACCTGTTCAAAAATAAATTATAAGGGAGCCCTTCACGTCTGTGGGCACTGGCTATCAACACGGCCATCTGCATCCGTGTCCTAAACCTCTGTTACCAAGGCCAGAGGGGAAGAGAGGAGCACGGGCGGAGAGGGAGACTGGGCTTGAGCCCAGACTGAGCTGCCTAAACCCCCCTCCTAGACCCCGAGGCCACCAGGGACAGCATGACAGCCATGTAACTGGTCTTCCCGCTGCCCCAATCAGGATCAGCTTACATGGCTAGGACCTGGGGTCTGCCTGCCTGTCCGTTCTCCCCCGTGTACTCTAAACTCCAGCCACACTGACATTCTTTTCAATTCCTTAATCACATCCTTAAACGCCTCTTGCCTCTGGCCTTTGCTTGCCCTGTTCCTGCTAACCCCTCCACCCTGTCCATCTGGTTAGCTCCTACTCCTCTGTCTCAATGAGCAGTCTTCCCTCAGCCTAGGCTAGGATAGGGCCTCTCAGTGTGCTCTCACACCAGGCTTGCCCAACGTAAGGCACAGGGTGCCTTACCATTCCCCGTTTTCTATCTGCTGTCCTCCTGCCTGCTGTGCAGCGGGTACTCACTAAACACTTATGGGATGGATGGATGGATGGACAGATGGATGGACGGACGGATGGATGGTCAAAGGAATGAATAAATCCCAGCTCTACTACTTGTTGGCAGTGTGACCTTGGACAAATAACTTGACCTCTTCCGAGCTATAGGTCAGTCTCTAAAATGGGGGTAGACGGGGCACCCGGGTGGCTCAGTCGGTTAAGCATCCGACTTCGGCTCAGGTCATGATCTCACGGTTCGTGAGTTCGAGCCCCTCATCGGGCTCTGTGCTGACAGCTCGGGGCCTGGAGCCTGCTTTGGATTCTGGGTTTCCCTCTCTCTCTGCCCTTCCCATGCTCATGCTCTGTCTCTCTCTGTCTCTCAAAAATAAAGAAATGTTTAAAAAAATAAAAAATAAATAAAATGGGGCTAGCCGATGTTTATCTCCCTGAAATGTTATAAGATTAAATGAGGCATGTGGCAATCCTGCATACAGTTGGTGCTCAGCAAATGCTTCTGGAATGTGACGAGCAGCTAGCACCATTCATTTGGCACTTTCACTGCCACGGTGTGTGTTTGCTGGGCATATATCTTGCCTGCTAACTGGCTGACAATCCCTTAGAGGCAGGGAACTTGTCTGTTCCCTGCCATGCCTCACCCAGCTCTGCAGGCACTCTGGGCTGGAAATGAGGTGTGGGACACGCCATCCATCTTAAATGCCCGTGTGAGACCCGTGTCTTAGAAACTTCTTGAAAACTTACAGCCCAGCGTCGGTCTACCATCTCTTCCGAGGAGGCTCTCAGCTCTAGGAGTCTGACTCCCACCTGGAATGGCCATCCCCCTGCCTTAGATGATCAGAGCCCCCAGGTGGACACACAGCCCCACGCTGTCTACACCCGTGACCCCAGATTTTCTCTCTGCTTGCTGCAAGCATGAGAAGAGACCCGTATATACCCCAGCATCAGAGAAAACCAGGGCC